GTTCCTGGTTGCAAGAACTGAGAGGCCCAGCAGCCCCGTGGCCTGGATCCAACGCTCCCCTCCTGAGGCTCAGGGCGCCCTCCTCCCGCCTTCCTCCCGCAGGAACCAGTCCAACGTGCGGCGCATGCACACGGCCGTGCGGCTGAACGAGGTCATCGTGAAGAAATCCCGGGATGCCAAGCTTGTTTTGCTCAACATGCCTGGGCCTCCCCGCAACCGCAACGGCGATGAAAACTGTATCCTGGACTTAAAATTGGGGGGAAGCGGGAGGTGGGCGCCAGGGAACCTGGGTCCTAGCCCTGGGACGGAAGCCCAGCCGGTCCTGCTCCGGGATCAGCACCCGGGTCAGGGTGGAAGCCCACGGTGTCCAGCTCCATCCGGAGGCAAGGGGTCGGGTCTTTCTCCTTGACGGGCGCTCAGACATGGAGTTCCTGGAGGTCCTCACCGAGCACCTGGACCGGGTGATGCTGGTCCGCGGCGGCGGCCGCGAAGTCATCACCATCTACTCCTGAGGACCGGGACCTGCCCCCCGGGCCGAGCGCGCCCGGCCCGCGGCCCGGAGCCCCCGCGCGCCCCCCGCCACCGTCACCGTTTACATACAGACCCCGCGACCCGGCCCTTCCCCCGCCGCCTGAGGTCCGAGGCCCCGTCCGTCCGTCCGTCCGCCCGCCCGCCCGGGCTGCCCTGGAGGGGACCGCCTCCACGTGGGCAGGCGCGCGCTGTCTCCTCGGCTGCAGCTGCTGCCCGGTTCCTAAGCCGGGCCTTGGCCGCCCTGGAGGAGGAGACGCTGCAATAAAGGTCGGGAGGGGGCGCGGCGAGGAGCTGGGGCTTTGAGGACCCCCAGGGAGTCCGCGTGGCCCCTTCTTTCTCTCCCCCTTCCCCTCCTCCCCCCCGCCCCGTCCCGGCCCTGCTCTGCCCTCCGCCGGCACAGCGCCGGCTCCGGGCGGGGGTGGGGTGGCCGCCGCTCCAGCCTCCCGCGGGCCGGCTGAGCCTATACATAGTGTACAGGAGACATCGCGTGTATTTTTAACGTCCCCACATCCCTGTGACTAGAAGCGCAACGGACTTCGCTCCACCCAGTCGAGCTCCCCTGCCAGGCTGCCCGGCGGTGGCGGCGGCAGAGCTTCGGGCGGCTGCATTTTCCTGGAATCCGAGCGTTTGGGAGCAAAAGTGCTTTAGGCCCGGGCGGGAGTCCTGGTCCTGGTCCCTGTCCCTCCACACCCCGGCCCCGCTCTCGCCTAGCCCTCTCCGCGCGCCCCGGCTTCCGATCCTTCCCTCCGACTCTTTTCGGAGAAGATGAGGGGAGACGAGCGTCCAGCTTTTCTTGGATTCGCCTCCCAGCGGACTGGAGCTTCCCTTGCGGCTGCAGAGACGCGTGCGACCCCGTCGCGGCTTTTCTGCAAGCTGGGGCCGGGGGTGCTTCTCAGGGCAGGGGGGGGGGGGGCACGCCCCACCCAGGAAGCCCCGGCCCGGTGCCTTCGCTGGGAGCAGGCACCTCTCAGTCGGCTGCTCCCCGGTGGCTCCTCGCCAAAGACACATCTGGGAGCTTGAGGGCGGTCCCTGCCCGGAGTTTTCTTTCTGGGACTGGTGAGGGAGGGGAGCGATTTCGGTGTAGGTGCGTACCCACCGGGGTGGTCCCAGCGCTGCCCCTGAAGTCCGCCCTCCTCCCCCATCCCATTAGGCAGCTCCAGCCCAGGGGACCCAGCCACCTTTCTGTGTGCCCCAGGGCGGGCCCTCACTGTTTAGCAGCGGCCTCTAGCTGGATGGGGCCTGCGGTCCGGTGTGCTTTGTTCTGAGCACCTCTCTGCCCCCCTCCCACTAGGACCCAAGGCCTTTGGCTACTCCAGCTGCAGTCCTTGACACTTCTGCTCTGTAGAGAAGGTTCTTCTCCCAGGGCACATTACTAAGGGGGACAGGCACTGCATGCTCCTTCCGGTGCCCTCTGGGACTGACTGGGTCCAGTACCTCCAGCGCCAGGGCCCTGACCTTCACACCTTGTTAGACATCCAGCCCAGCTCCGAGCTGGGGCTACTGGCACTCCTGACCTCACCACCTCCTTTCCTTTGAGCTGTAGGCAAAGAACTGGAGCTGGTGCCAGCTTGACTGGGCCAGGTGTGGCTGGAGGTAGGTCTGGATGTGTGACAGGCCAAGGCCCATCTGTCACTTGCGGAGGGGGCTGGATAGACTCTTCCAGGCAGTAATCAGAAAGTCGGATATTAGACACCAGCTCCCCTGCCCCCTTCCTCCAAAAGACCTCTGAGAATCACAACTTGGTCTAGCCTCCTGAGCCTGAGCACTCAAGCTGAAGTGGTGGGCTGGGCAGAAGGGAGAGGGGTTGTATCAACACCAATTAGGGAACCAAAGTTGCATTATCTGGGCCCAGACTGTCAGGTTGGCAAGAGCAGTTTCCATGGTTGAAAACAAACATCCTACAACAAAAACCCAAGTTTTCTGTGCTACATGTGCAATATTTGTTATGTTATCATGTCATTCATCAAATTATCTTTATAATCATTGTAGCTAGATGTTTCATGTCCAAGTGACTTTTACTCTGAGTGCAATATTTCAATAGCCTTGTAGTGATAACTAGTATTGCTTTTGTTTTGGACGATCTACGTGCAGGGCAATGCAATGAAGTTGAAAACCCTTGTAAATAGGAGAGATTGCAAACCAAATCAAGAGTATTTATTACTATTATTAGGCCTGCCTTTAATTTTCAGTGTTTTAGTATTCCGCATTCTGCCTCAGTACTGACTTTGTGTTTTTTTGTGCCAATATGAAAAGGAGAGGGTTGGTCTTTCCTTTACTGTTGAATGCTCCCATTTAATGCTTTACAGCTTTTACTGTATTTTTTAGACTCCTGTCTGCACAAAATGCAATAAAAATAATTTTATTATACCCTTCACAGCCTGAGGTGTGCTGTTTGGACATGCGAAGGGGAAGAATTAGTAGCGGGGAAGAAGAGGATTCCTCAGCGTGGCTCTCCAGGAGGACCCAACTCCTTTCAGAAACACTGACCTTCCCTGAGGAGGGATGGACTGAGCCCCCAGGTGTGTCTGCCTCCTTTGTGTACTGAGTTTGAGGCAGTCCTCAAGGGACGAAGGAATTGGCAGCAGGGGCTAATCGCCACTCGAGGTGGTAGCTGGGATTAGTCAGGTTCAGTGCTGTCTGCATTTTGGCCCCTAACCCACTGGAGGCCTTGTGCCAGTCACTTCACACCGTTTCCCGATGGGGCCGGCTATTATTAAATGCTCTTGAAGGCTCTTACAGATTCTGTAACTATGGTTCCCCCAACTCCCTGCATAATGGGCAGAACAGAGGGTGGCAACTGAGATGAAATCAAAACAGGAGAGTAACCAACTTCACTGGCCAGGGCCCTGCTTTCCTTTCCTAGAATAAGAGGACAAGCCTGCTGACACTGAAAGTCTACACAGACAAGGATGTTTCACACAGCCTTGGAATTAGCCAGCAGGCGACTGCTCTGAACTGTTATTAAAGCTGCTAACTAGGTGGGCTGAAGAGAAGCTAGGGTTAAAGAGGTTTCGAGGCCTGAGCATAGGTTGAGGACAAGAGGGGGCAGGCCTCACAGCAGACTGAAACTAGTCAGTGCTTCCAGGGACCCTCCATTCCAACCCTCAGAGGGAATACCCCCAAAGAGGTCCTGCAGAAGTCACACTCCAAGGAGACGACACATTTCCTTTTTCATTTTAATTAAAAAGTAATCATCTTATCAACAACACAAGTTCCAAAGAGGGAAAAACACTATAGAACACAAACAGATCAGAACATAAAATGCTGCCATCTGGGGACCTTGAGTTTTTTAAACCACTGTTTGCTCAGCCACTGGCAAGGACGCAGCTGAAGTCACGTTCTCCTCATCCCTGCCAGAGGCCCCTTGAGACTAAGATCCACGGGGCTCTAACGAGCACCATCCCTAGGGAGAGGGCAGCTTCCTTTGGCTCCATCCAGAGCAGCAGCCAGAAGTCCTCCCTCTAATAATTTCATTCTGGCTCAAAAGTTAGGAACAGCCACCTGTATCAAGAACATGTTCAGCTACCAAAAGTCTGACATCAAAATGGTCCCTCCCTCCTGCTACTCAGAAAACAAGAGATCGATTTTTAAGCCCAAAACTCAAACAGTCACTGAAAAAAATGGGTGTTCAATGCCAGAGTCTAGAGTTGCCTTCTCAGAATGGATTCCATCAAACTACCACTGGAGAAGGAGAGCTGATGGAAATGTTAAGGGGGTAAAAATGGTTGGGGCCCAGATTCACAGTTTATGTTAAACTGCTGGTGACCGGAATTGTTCAGTCTACTGGAGATCCTCCAATGAAATGAGAGCAAAAGAAGAGAAAAACGAGAAAACCCAAAACCAACAATATTGTGTCAGGCAGAAGAGTATCTTGTCTGTGTGGCTGCCATGGACACTCCTAAACTCCAGAGTAGCTAAATTATACATCCTTGAGCAGACCCCTCAACACAGGGGTGGGCACAATGACACCTGCTGAGCCTAGTCTGCTATGCAACTCTGGGCAGGAGCTACAGATAGGAGCTGGAGCTCTGACTGGCCTGTGAGGCTGCAAAACAAAGGCTATTGACATGAAAATGCCATTCCAAACTCAACCAGTTGGGGCTTGGCTTTTTCTTTCCCACCCCCCAAATCCAGGTGACAGAGACCAGAGAACCCATGTTGAAACCCATAAAATATCAACTGAGCCCAGACACCCATACTGCCACCCAAGTGACCCCAGAAATATTTATTTTCTACAAAAAAACAAAAACAAAAACAAAAAAATACACAACCCCAAATGCAATATAAACTCTGACTCTGGAAGGAATAAGCAACACAGCCTTGGGCAGAAGAGAGAGCAGATGGTAGAAACTTAGGACATTTGATGTGACCTGGATAGGGGAAAAGAACATCCTCCAAATAACTACTTAGAACACAATAGATGGGAGGCAGCCGGGGATGAGGAAGCCGGGAACAGTTGAGACTGAGCCTCAGTAATGCCTCTGGTAAGATCCCATGGGCGCCTGGGGCCGCCCCACCTGTGCTGTGGTTTGGCTAACCAGGTGGGAGAGAGCAGAGCCACTCTGGATCAGAGTGTCCAGAGCCTTCTGTACACTCGGATTGTCAAAGTTGATACCTGTGGAAGACACCGGCCTCTGGCTAGCTATGTTGCTGGCAGGTGCCAGGCGACTGGAAGGCTGGCCAAAGAGCCCCTGGGAAGGAGCCCCAGGCCTGGGGCCTATGTTCCGAGCAGATGGTGGCTGTCCCAAAATGTTTGGAGGCGGATTGCCAGAGGCCTGTGATCTCTGCTGAGGCTGGCTGTTTACAGGTGTGGAAAAATTCTGGTTCTGGGTGTTTCCGGCAGCGACTGAGGGAGATGCAGAGCTATTGGCCACAACCGTGCCACTATTGAAGAGACTGAGGATTTTGGCCTGAAGCTCTTGCTGGGAGGTGGGGGGCACAGCTGGAGTGGGTGTAGCAGAGGGGAGCACTTGGCTGCTCTGGAGCGGTTGGGAGCTTGGCTGTGTCTTCAGCGAGGCACCCGAGGTCGCCCCGAGTGGTTGGCGGGAAATCGGGCCTACAAGACAGGAGGAGGAGGTATCTGGTTGAAAGTACCCTCCATGGGCAGGAGGCTTGGCAGCCCAGGGAAGAACAACAATCACTGATCACATCAATCACACAGTACACAGACTATAACATCAATTTCCCAAAGGGGCCATTCCTTGGTATGAGCTGTCTACAGAAGACAGCCTAGTTCCCCCAGAGAATTAATTAAAGGAAAAAGGGTATCCACCCTGGTTACCAGGGAGTCAGTAATACTAGTCTATCCATCACCAGATTAACTACAGGGATCAGAATTCTGTGCCCAAGTATTAAGTTATCATTTTATCAGTATAAAGGCCCACGAGGCAAACACAGGGGTGGGCTCATTCCCTTACCCACCCCAAAGAGCCATGGGCCTCCCACCCTCCCAACAGAGCCTGGGAATTAGAGAAATGCAGAGTCAGAACTTCACCTCGGCCCTGCCACGTAGCTCACCAGGCAGAGAGTCGGTGCTGCTCCTCATCAGCCGCTCCTTCCTCTCTCGCAGGTAGTTGATGATCTTGTCAGTCTCTTCGGCAGTGAGGTACCTGTTGTCTGCCAGCAGGTTGATGAGGCTTTGGATGGCTGGAGGATGGCCTCCGCGTACTCCTTCATCGGGGCCCCCTCGCTCTCTTTCCTGCAGAATGGCTTCATTGGCCATCTTGGCTGCCTGTCTGGCAATCTCCTCGCGTTCCTTTTCTCGGCACTCATTCTTGTAGCGCTCATAATTTCTGGCCACCAGCACCATGGCGTCTGCCTGGGGCATGTTGCGGTGCTCTGCAGGAGGGAGTGACGAGTTATTTTCTCCCAAGAGAGATTTCAGTGCCCACCTCCTGAATTCTATCTACCATGCCTTTCCTAATCTCAAGCCAGCAAGAAACAGTAACAAAAAGCTTTGGGATGGGGAAGGGAGGGGAAGGAGATGAAGCTGGGAAGACAGGTAAATGCATTTCTTTGGTGGGGAATGCACATCTTTGTACAGAGCTGGTTCTTTTCGGAATTCTTAGACTTGTAGTAATAATCAAAGAAACACGATAGCCTCTCACAGATTCAGAGTCTTCGTGGGGATAGCCATGGAGGGGTGGCTGCAGGGGGGCTAAAGCCCGTCTGTAAAGCCTGGCTCTCCACGGTGCTTCTCAGGATAGAGCTGGCCTACTGTTTTTGAATTCCTAAGTTCAAAGGTAACAAATTAAGACTAAATTGTGACCCTAAGTAACCTCCTCTCCTTGGGCAATATGATTTACAGGGTGGTGAGAAGACTTCTCAAAACTTTATATAAATGAACTCACGTATCTTGAGGACTATTCCTCAGAGAGGCAAATGACACACAGGAGAGTCTTACGTATTTTATGGTTTGGGTATAACCTGTCAGACAAATAGAGATCTGGTGTGTGGTGGGAAGAGGGAAAAGTCTGTGTTGAAAGAGCAGGGCATCAATTGGCTGACTCTCAACATTCTGGGCACAAAGTACTAAAAGTCACTTCAGGGAAGGACTTCAAAGAACCTCCTCCCCTGGACCTCTGAAGGTCAAGGCCACCTTCCTGTTCTCACAGTCCCTCTGCTTAGCACACTTACAAATAGCATCATAGAAGCTCTCTTTCCATTGTATTTCTGTCTGCCATTAGAAAGTTTGGTAAAAGCTTTCTATCACACTCATGACCACTGGCAAGAGCTGACTGCACATCTCTTCCCAACTCTTCCTGAAGTGACTTCACATGGGTGGTTTGAAGTAGGACACAGTCAGAGCATTTGCACCACAAAAATCAGCAAATGCTACAAATCACACTGCCCTCATTTCCTTACCCAGAACTGGTTGCTGAACATTTGCCAGCACACCCCTGTACATATCTAAGGGGTAAACATATATCTTATGTAGAATTGTATCCACTAAAAGTGTTTCCCAAAGTGTGGTATGCGTACCCCCAGGGGTACAGGAAGAGTATGGTGGGGATATGCACTGCCCCATGCTTAGCTGCACCTAATTCTACGTTCTCATGTGTACGAGGGGTACTCAGCATTATGAAAATTATAGAAGAGGTACACATATGTCAAAAGTTTGGGAAACACTGCAATGACCATAAAATCTCCACCAGTGCACTTATCAAAGGACCTACCATATCTGGGCTGAAATATATGAGTCATTTGCCCCAACCTTGGTTCTTCTGATTTCGGCATGAAAGAATTAATGGGCTAAGTGACTACCCCTGGAATTCTGACCCACTTGGGCCCCATACCTTGTGGGGTTCCAAACATGATGTTGACTGTACAGGAGCGGTGAATCTGGTGTTGCTGGGTGATGATAATAGCAAAAGGAGACCCTCCCCTGCTAACATCCTCCAGGGCTTGTGACAGCGAAACCTCTGTGTTGAGGAAGATCAAATCCACTACCATGCCTAGGTCTCGTACCTTCCGCCCCACAGATTCAGCATAATCTCTGTAGAAACAAACAGAATCCAGGTGAGCACTCCCCATATGCACACTGCTGCATCCCAGCCAGCTGTGTACTACTTAGGAGAGTTCAACCCAAGGTCTCCCCAGTGCCCTCTTCGGACTCCAAGGATCTAGATTTCCTTCCTTTATCCTCGCTCCGAACGGTTCTATATGAAGTTGCTGGCAGCGCAGTGGTTAGTCCAGGTCCTCTCCTGATTCTCTAGTACAGCAGTCCTTTCTTTCACCGTCTCACTGCCTAAATAGGCTTGTCTTTGGGGAGGCTGCATAATCGTGGGAAAAGCATAGGTTTTCACCTAGAAAGACAGTTTGGATCCCAGCTCTAACACTGACTTGAAAAGCTGTGAAGCTTTGAGCAGATCCCTTTACCTCTTACAAATCTCACATTCTTTACCAATAAAACAGGAATAATATGCTCAGCTGCCATTTCATCTCCTTGACCTTCTCTCCAATATAAATTAGGACCTTGATGTATTTCTCCTCATAGTCTATCGCCAATACATCTGCTCAACTAGGGTGTAAGCTCCATAAGAAGGGGCTGCTGTGTGTGTTTACCATTACAGCTCCAGTACCTAGCATCTGCCATTCGCACAAAAAAATTGAATGAGTACACATGTGCCATGCTTACTGTGAAGATTAAAAATATTTTGCATCAAGTGCCTGCATGGGGGATAGTACAGAATAGGTGTTTAGAAAATGATAGCACACAAACCAATTTAACAAACAAAACCCCCATTTCTACAGTTAAAGCAGCATCTATTTCTAAACAAGACTATTTCTAAACAGAGCCTGTGAACTCTGTCTGCTGCTTAGTGTCAATCCCTATTTCCCTAGCTTCTGCCTTGAAATTGGCTCTTTAACCCCAAACTGCTAGAAATACCTGAAGTTATTTACTAATCACCAAGGGAAAGAATACATAGCTACTGCCAAGCCAGCAAGCCGCTCTACTCCCTTCTGCTTCTCCGCTCTGCCTCCTGAAGGAAAGAACGTAAAACAGGCGGAGTATAACAGCACTGTGTACTCTGGACTGACTAGCAGGGTCACCTAACGTTTCTGCAAGGCCATGGCACTTCACAAAAAAGACTTCACACGTGGCTGACAAATGCAGAGATGTGTCTCCCATCGTACTGGAGAGTAGGGGTTGTCCCTTGAAGGGGGGCTTCTACTGCTTGGATGACCAGCATATATTTTTGCTTCGATTTTCCTTTGGGAAGGCATCTCTCTAACTCAGTTCACATGGCTCCACAGGACTAAGTCACCTTAAGCTCTAGGGATGGGATGGGCATACGACCTAGCCCTGGCCAATCAGGGCATCCCAGCACTGTTGGCTAAAGTGACTAGTCCAGCAATGGGGAAATGAGCCAGTTTAGTCCAATGAAAGACAATTCCAGGATGTCAGATGGAAGAACTAGAAGGAGAAGCTCTCTTTCCATTGTATTTGCTAAGCCAGGAAGATACATGTCTAGGGCCAGTGCCATTCTGCCTTTTCAAGGAGAATGCCTGTCTAATAATGAGGCAACACAGAGACCCAAAATTGGTAACATGGTTTGACCCAGGATGTGACCATTCCTGAACTTCCAAGCCAAGCAAACCAAACATTTCCCTTTGAGGCTCAACCCAGTTTGTAATGCTTTTTCTGTCTTACAATTGAAAAAACTCTGGCTAAGACAGCACAGCAATGCCAAAATACACAGACCACATTCAGTGGGTAGAGCTGCCAAGAGGGAGCCTGAATTTCAATTCTGATCCTTCCCCTTACTCAGGAGAAATATCCAAAGGGTTCTTACTTAGTCTGCTTGTTGACCACAATTACAGAACAATCAACAGGCCTTTCAGCATCAAAGCGTCTCTGGATTTCTTCAAAATATTGACGATAAAGCTCTTCTCTACGCCGTTCTTCACGTTTCAAACGCTCTGGAAGATACCACCAGGGAAAACTAAAATATGAATTGTGCTTATTTTTTCTATAAAAATAAGTCACAGGCTTTACTTTGAATTCTGAACTACCTGCAGGCAAAGATCATCACACACACACACACACACACACACACACACACACACACACACACACTCCCTCCCTCTCTCTCTCTCTCTCTCTCTCTCTCTCTCTCTCTCTCTCTCTCTCTCTCTATCCTCTAGACCAGTGTTTCTCAAAGTGTGGTACGCCTACGCCCAGGGGTACGGGAAGAGTTTGGTGGGGGTATGCATTGCACCGGAGTTTGGTGGGGATATGCACTGCACCGTGCTTAGCTGCGCCTAATTCTACGTTCTCATGAATACGAGGGGTACTCAGCGTTATGAAAATTATAGAAGGGATACACATATGTCAAAAGTTTGGGAAACACTGCTCTAGATTATCTCCTAAAAATAGCCATTAGGAGTGATGGAGAGAGTGTGAGTGAGGGAGTAAAAGGAGAGTGTGTAGATGTGTGGTGTGTGTGTAAAAAGACTTATTAAGAAAGGCTCTTATTAATTTACTAGAGGCCCTGTGCATGAAAATTCATGCATTGGAGAGGGGGGGAACCTCTCACAGTCCAGGAGCCCTCAGGGGTGGGGTGGGAGGTGACTTGGCAATCAGGGGAAGGAGACACCCCATCACCCCTCTGCTGCTACCATTGCTGTCAGTGCAAGCCTCAGCCAGCCTGGCTACCTGAGCCTCGGTGGCCCGTGGCGGCTGGGCAGCCGCCACCTGAGGCTTGCCAGCACCTTGGGCTGTCCTGGGCAGCTGGGGGGCCTGAGGGGACTGGGGGACTCTGGAGGCAGAAACAGGGAGCAGCTGGGCCCACCTGGGGGCAGGCCTGGCCTTGCCACACACCTGTCACTCTGGCGGGGCTGGGGAGACTGGACACCGCCATCTTGTGGCTGTGGGAGCCACCATCTTTGAGGATGGGACAGTCAATTAGCATATTCCCTCCTTACTGGCTGTGGATGCTGCCATCTTTGCAATGGTATGAGGGCCAATTAGCATATTCCCTCTTTATTAGACAGGTTTTACCCAGAGGGGTAAATCACCCACCTACTGCTATTATTCATCTAGATATGAAGCAATTTAAAAACCTTTAAAGATGTACTGAGAAAACCATACTTTTAAAAAGCATGTTTGTCTTTTTAAAGAGATGCTGTTAGGTAAAAATTATAAAACAAACAAACAAATAAACAAGCCCACAAACCCCATGCTTCACAGATAACGCAGACTAGTTATTTGTATAATGGGCAAAACACAAGCAACCTCTTTAGCTCCAATCTTTAGTTTATTTCTTATTGATGAAAATTTATTTTTTCTTATATGACTAAACCAGATAATACTAACTTGCATTGAAAATGCTCACTACATATCAATAGGCTATTTGTATTTTTTCCTTTTGTAAACTGTTAGCCACATCATTTGCCCCCTTTCAGTTGGTTATTAGTTTCCTCTATTTTTGGTCAAGTGATTCTATCAGTAATAGAAGGTAAAGTGTCTCTGCTACTTTACCTTTTGCACGAGACTGACTTTCTGGGCCTGGAGGGCCTCTTCCATCAAAGCTATCCCTATAACGGTCAAAGTAAGAGTCATCCTTTCTCCTGCCATAGTCATCCATTCGCAGGTATCGGTCATAAGAGCTTTCTCTCCTGTAAAGTTAAAGAAATTATCACAAAATGAAAACTGTTGTCCTATCCTGAAAAAATCAGATACAAAGATTCTTCAAGACCCAGTCCCCTGTGAGGAAATAAGCATTGTAAGGCATATGACTTTGGGATTGGACCAATGAGGTTTGTACAAGTATACCTGGAAAATATTGTAGGTTTGGCTCAAGACCATTGCATTAAAGCAAGTATTGCAATAAAGCAAGTTGTAATCTTTTTTGCTCGTGGAGGGTCTTGCCTTCAATTTGTAAAGCATAGTAAATGAGGTATGCCGGTATCTGGGACTCACTGCTTATTACTCTGTGACTGCAAATGAGTCCCTGGCATAAAGCAAACACAAAGTAACTGGTAGTAATTATTATTATTTGTTAATCTTTACCTTAAGATATTTTCCCATTGGTTTTTAGAAAGTGGAAGGCAGGGAGGGAGGGGAGAAAAAAGAAGGAATGGAGGGAGGAAGGGAGAGAGAGAAGATAGAAAGAGGCGGGGGAGGGAGAGAGGGAGGCATCAACTGTCTCTTGCACTGGCCTGATTAGAACTGGGGATTGAACCTGCAACCCATGTAATGCCATCTTGACTGGAATCAACTCTCAAATCTTAGGTGTGGCAGGCCAACACTAACCACTGAGCTATACCACACTGGCCAGTTAATTACTGGCCAGTGTGGTATAGCTGGTTATAATTACTGATATTAGTTTTGACGAACTGTTCCATGTATGTGTGTGTGTATATATGCATGCATATATATATATATATATATATATATATATATATATATATATATATACACACACACTGTATATATATTATATATGCACACACACATACACACACACATACACACAATAATTTTTCATCACTCAAAACAGAACACTCTGAACTGAAACTCTACCCATTAAAGAAGGGAACAGGGCATAAAAAGATACTTCTGCCCATGAATTTGCCCTTTTTAGACAGTTCATATAAATGGGATTATATGACATTTGTCTTTTGTGTCTGTTTGGCTTATTTCACTTAGCATAATGTATTTTTTTAAATCCTCACACGTTGTTTTTTCCACTGATTTTCAGAGAGGGAGGGAGGGAAAGAGGCGGCAGGGGAGAAAGAAACATTGATTGGCTGCCTTCTACCAGTGCCCAGTCCAGGGTTAGGTATCAAACCCACAACCAAGGTACCTACCCTTGATTGGGAATTGACTCAGAGACCCGTAGGTGCTTGGGCTGATGTTCTAACCATTGAGAAAACCAGCCAGGGCCATTTAGCATGTTTCCAAGGTCCATCCATGTGGCAGCAGGTATCAGCATTATCTTCCTTTTTATGGCTGAATACTATTCTATTGCATGAATACATCACATTTTTTATCCATCTACTGATGGACTTTGGGTTGTATCTCATTTTCAGTTACTGTGAATAATGCTGCTGTGCACATTCATGTACAAGTGTCTGTTTGCCTCTTTCTAATTCTTTTAGGTATAGTCAGGAGTGGAATTGATCATAGTAATTCTACTACATTTATAACTTTTTAAGAAATTTCCAAACTGTTTTCCATAGTTGCCACATTATTTTACATTCCTACCAACAAGGTAAACTATTTTTCCACACTTCACCAGCAATTGCTATTGTGTGTGGTGTGTGTGTGTGTTTTAACACATTTTTATTTCAGAGAGGGAGGGAAAGGAAGAGAGAGAGAGAGAAACATTAATGATGAGAGAGAATCATTGATTGGCTGTCTCCTACATGCCCCATTACTGAGATTGCGTCTACAAGCAACCTGGGCATGTGCCCTTGACTGGAATTGAACCCAGGAGACCCTTTAGTCTGCAGGATGACGCTCTATCCACTGAGCCAAACTAGCTAGAGCTCTGTGTTCTTAAAAAATAAATTATAGCCACCCTAGTGGGTATAAAGTACACTTTCCTGACAAAGTGTATCTTCCCTGAGCTTTTGCACTGCCAAAACAATTTGCATTTCATCTTTTTTCCGTTTGCACAATGTTATCTTTCATAGGTCCTGGGGAGAGACCAAAATTCATTCGCTAAAATATTTACTGAGCAGCATACCTGCCACTTGATAGACAATGGAGATATAAAATCATGCCCTTCAGAGCTTTCAATTAGTTTAGCAGAACACACATAAATAATTCTCTTACCCCCCCCCACCCCCCAAAAAATGCCAAGCAGAATAGCTGTACATGTACCTACCTGTACATGGGATCTCGGGAGTCTCTCATATCTCTGTATCTGTCATACATGGGGTCTCGATGATCTCTAAAATCCCTAGAGTCTCTTAGATCACGGAAGTCTCTAAGATCCCTCATGTCCCGAGCATCACGCATACTTCTGTCTCTGTGATCCCGAATGTCTCTATCTCTGTGGTCCCGCAAGTCTCGGGGGTCTCGCATGTCTCTGCTATCGCGGGTATCACGACCATTTCTCCCATCCCTGGGCTCTCTTCTTGGACTTCCTCGAATTGGGGATCGATCACGTCTTGAATCTCGACCGTCTCCAAAGCCATATGGATCTCTGTGGGAGGTAGCGAGAAGATGCTAAGACAAAGAAATCGAAGGTAGCTAACCCTTCAGCTCTTTATTAGAGGAAGTTCCCTCCCCTTCCAACCACTCCCCCCAGAAAACATAGTAGCAAAACAGTGAGAACATGACTAAAATTTGAACAACAGTCACCATCTGTTCAGCAAATAAAGATAGTAGGTTCTATCAATCTCAAAAGATCAGGACAAAGAATGTATGACCCAAAATCAAAGGTTTTGACTGAGGTCATAGTACTTATCAGGCTTCAGGGAGTAAGTAGTAATTCGGCATAACTTATGCATGCCAATCTAGCATCTCAATCTCAATAGGTTTTCAAGGTAAAACTGTCTTTCTCCAAGAACCTATTTTCTCCTACCAGACCTGTTTGAAAGAGACTTTAAAAGGGGGACAAAGTTGGGGAGACACAGTAAGGAGCAAGACTCATGAAGAAAAAAAGAACAAATGCACAATTTCATACAAAGTAATGGTGATAAAGAAGTTGTCCTGGAAGTGCAGAAAACTTCACTTACAATACCTAGCAGGATAATCCAAGTTATGAGAAAAAAAGAAAAATTACAATATGATACACATAGTAAAGTGTAAGAACACACTGTCTTTTCAACATAGTTAATGAGTAGTGGTCTTTCTCAATTTGAGGTTTATGAAGAATCTAGTTCCTTTTTGCCAATGTTTGTTTTTTAAAATGTTTGAAGTCACAGATTTGTTGGTCTGCTCTGATTCAATATTCTTCAGGAGACAGTCTACTCTATTGGAAACTTAACCTCAACGTATCTAATAAACTTCTTATTAAACCCACACATTCCTGACATTTTCACTTTTGACAAAAATAATCTTTCCAGCCCTAACTGGTGTGGATCGGTGGATAGAGCGTCGACCTGCAGACTGAAAGGTATCAGGTTCGATTCTGGTCAAGGGCATGACCTTGGTTGTGGGCACATCCCCAGTAGTTGTGCAGGAGGCAGCTGATCAATGTTTCTCTCATCAATGATTCTAACTAGAGATCTCTATCCCTCTACCATCCTCTCTGTAAAAAAAAAAAAAAATCAATAAAATATATTTAAAAAAATAATCTTCCCAGTTATCAAGGTCTAAGTTCTTAAAAGTTAATTTTGATTCTTCCTTTCCTATCTCCATTAAGAAACTTCAACCCTGTTTGTTTTCCCTCTTCACTGGATTTATGAATTCAATCCAAACCCGTATGCTGGCACCAATAAATTTCCAAAAACAAAACAAAATGAAAACCAACCTTCCACACTTCAATTCACTCAACACATAAAAAACAGATTACCCAAATTACAACCTGTTCCAATTGCAGCTTCACTACTGCACTTCTGGGTACCCTCCCCAACAAATCTGGCCCCTTCCAACTGCTACACTTCCTCTATTTCCCAATCCAACTTCCTCAGTTTTACTTAATAAGCTGTTCTAAGACTTAACTTACATGACATCTACCACAGTATTTGTTCTTTTGGCTTTTCAATCTGGAATATTTTTCCTGCACTAATCCAAGTATCACCCAATCCTCAGGCAAATTCATGTCTCATGTCTTTGAAGAAATCTTCTCAGATTAATCTCCCTAGAAATTGCTGATCATCCCCTGATCAACTCTTAGAGCACTTACTATTTCTATTACCCATCTTTATCTGGCATTTACCATTTTTTTCATATATATATATTTTATTGATTTGAGAGAGGGAGAGGGAGAGATAGAAACATCAATGATGAGAGAGAATCACTGATTGGCTGCCTCCTGCATACTCCCTACTGGGCATGTGCCCTTGACCTGGAGCTCTTCAGTCCAAAGGCTGATGCTCTATCCACTGAGCAAAACCAGCTAGGGCTGGTATTTACCTTTTTACAACAATGTCTTTTTGTTTGTCCCACATTAAGTACTATCTCCTCCATAAAACCTGCCCTGAACTCAATCTTCCCTAACAAATATGCTTCTCTAGTCCTATCTCAATAAATGCTACCCCCACCTACTCAGTTACTCAAGCCAGGAAACTGGCTGTCATCCACTCTTTCAATCACATTTCCAAAGTTCATACATCCTTTCTCTGAAATTCTGTCCACATTTCTCTATTCCCAATGGCATCACTGAAGGTCAACCCATAATCATCTCCCTAAAACCACAGCAAAGGCCTTCTAAAGTAGTTTCCCCACGTCTACTCTTGCCTCTCTAGTCCAATCATTCTCCACATTACTCTAGTGATCTTTTAAATAAGTAAAATCCTTTATTGGTTTCCCACAGTATTTAGAATTTAATCCAAAATCTCTAATGCTAATAAGATCCTTAGTGTCTTGGCTCCCATCTTCCCCAACTCCATCTCATCCTCTCCCATTTACCACTTTCTTGCCATGCTGGCCTTTAAGCTATGACTAGCCAATGTTTTTCCTGATGCCTTTACTAGAGCAGCAGATACGAATGCATATTCACTTTCTAGGTCTCAGCATAAATATATTATTTTCTCATTTTGTTAGTTTAAAAGTTTATCTTCTTCCCCTAAATCCTGGCCACATCTTCTCACAGCACTTTACCTGTCTGTCCACTCTCCTAGACTGCAAGCCATGAGGGCAAGGGCTATCAGAAACTCTCCACTATAAATGTCACTATATCTGCAATGCAGATGATCCACAAACGGGTTGAATGAATCTTGCTCTAGGACATATTTCTATTATTGCATTTATCACAACGTTTTGTAATTATTTGTTTACAGGGCGCCTCCCTACTGAACAGTAGAAGGCTTTGTATCCCTAGGACACAGCACCAAGTTTAGGAAATGTTTAATGAATTGTTCAACTAAACTATAAGCCTCTCAAAAGCAGTAGCTATGTTTTGTTGATACCTTTGCATCTATCGTGGTTACACATATTAAGCATTCATCATGATGCCAACAGCTTGATAGAAAACTCCAATTTCATTCATCTACAGGACATAGCAAAAACAATTTAAATGACAACTTTGCTTCTATGAAAAATCCTTGTCATATGTTTTAAGGCTCACAAGAACCCCTAACTTGTGGAAACATATGGGAGACCAGGGAATTAAATGACAGCTAAACATTTTTCTCCTCTTAGAATAGAGACTAACCAAAATTCTTACTTCAATTTTCCTTATGTCATATAATCCTCCTAATATGTGTAACATCTTAAGTAGTGTATAATGTGGGCAAACACCCAGAATCCCAATGGGAAGGGACAACTGTAAAGTATTTTTGGATTAATGATCGCTAGATAAAGCTGCCTTGGGGAGCAGTTAGAAGTAGTCATTAGAGGTGGAATCAGATTTCAAGTGTTCTTGGCAATCAGGACTGAGAGAGATCATGAGCTTGACAGACCACAGACCACACACAAAGTTTTGGGCTGGTGGAACAGCATGTTATTCGTGGCCTCAGGATAATTATAAATGCCCTATTTGATTCTCATTCTTTTGAACCCACTGAAATACTTACCTGTCAGAGTCCATCCCTGGAGGTTGACTATAATCCTAAATTCCCAAAGCCTGGATTCACGTTTCCAGTTTGAAAGGCAAACACTCCCCCTCCCCTCAATGAATGTGAACTTCATGTGCAACACAACTACTAATTCCTCAATTGCTTTCTGTTTAAAAATGTAGAAGGGATGATATTCATTCACAAGGGGGAAAAGAACAAAAGTGGTGGAAGAAGGGATAGAGAAAATAGCAATTCTCTAAAATGAAAAGGCCAGGCTCTTTTCCTTTCTCAAAAGATGAGCAGTATGGCAGACTGCTGTTCCTCTGAAGACAAAGACAAAAACCCCTTTAGGGTCACTTCAGGACCCAAACAAAGAACTTTCCCAGGACAAAGGACTTCAGGACTCCAGCTGCTGGCCCCATCTTTCTCAAAGCAAGACCAGCTATCAAAAGGGTGGTATAGTGTACAGGATTCAGAGTGTCGCAAGGAGAAAGGCTGCAGAATGAAATGCTTGACCTCAGACAGCCAGTGTGTTAGAAGCAAGTTTCTGGAGCATAATAATATCTTCCCACCATACGAGAGGTGTTTAAATGGAGACCAAATGCAGTATACCCTCAAGTACCAGGTCAGTAGAGGCTAAAATGAAATTAGAAAGTGGTTAAATAAATGTCAGCACTCGAGTCCACAACTGAAGGCAGGTGATAAACACTACTAAAATTCTGTTAAATATTCCTCATCTATTCAGCAGGGGGAAAATATTGGTAGCCAAATGCTTTTTGCCTCAAGAGAAATATAGCCATCATTTGGAAACAGTTGAGAGGTAAGGGAGGAGTGGGTGAAGGGAAAAGCCATGCATGGCTCAGATGTGCTTCTGGAAGAATTGCTTTTCTTCCTGGGCATTGAAGGGGTAGTGTCGCAACTGTTCATTTGAGAGTCTACAGAGTAAGAACTGATAGCTGATCATCTTGAAGACTGTGAGGGACTTTAAACTTGTCTTCAGCCAGAGGCTGAAACCTCAAGCTCAGGATGTTTTTTTTTGGCCTTGGTGAACAGATCAGGGAGGAAGGCCTTTGTCCTTTTCTTTGTCAACATCTTTTTGTTACTGTAATATTTTCCTTGGAAGATCCAGCCTTTTTCTCCTCCTGAAAAAAAATCCTTCACCAGCTCTTCATACTTCTATTCCGTCACAGATATGTGTCCACAAATAATTATTGAAATGGCTGACTGTTATGTGATGTTGATCCCCCACGACAATGGTTCCATGCTGTCAGAAATGAAGACAGAGGACTTGAGCAGAATTTTGCTATTAGGTGAACATAGGATATGGCGCACAATGAGATATACCTCCCAGATTCAAATTTTTAAGTGCCCATGTCTCCCTAGCATGCACTCTGATGATTTTCTTCAGCACAAATATGACTTTTCTGATGGTAGAGATAGCACTTGCTGAGAACTGAAGGTTCTTCTTAAGTGTTAGAACAGGGTTAATCGCAGCCTGGAATCTTTAATCGTGAAGCCCACCTTAAGCTATATCACATCCAAGGAGCAAGCAGTTATCAAAGGAATTAGCACTGTAGATAGGTAGAAACCATCTTAGGCCATATAAGAAACTTGTCTCCAGCTAGGTTATTTTGAATTGAACTGAGTCCTTGATGACTTTCACTGAAGAGGAATCAGGCCTAAAAATCCTTAAAAATATGAGGAAAACTCTCTGTAGAACTTTTGATTTAGATGAATCAATTCTATTTGATTTTCTTCAGGTCATATGGGAAGGATGAGGAACTAGAGTCTTACTTGGAAGCCACTTCTGCGTAGGGGTGTTTCAAGACCTAGATTATCAAGGTGGTGAGCTACAGATGAAAATTGAGAACATCTGAGGCACAACTAGAATTATGGTCCAGTTTTTGAAGGCCTAATGCCTAGCACCAATGCCAGGCAACTTGCATGGTAACTATGTAATATACTCATAAAGAAGTCAAATGAAGTGATCCAAGGGTTAAATGATGAGAATTCAGGCTGAAATTTGATCCAGAGCAGGGATTTCCAACGCAAAGAACTGTGCTTGACCATACGAGAGGTGTTTAAATGGAGACCAAATGCAGTATACCCTCAAGTACCAGGTCAGTAGAGGCTAAAATATTGTCAGAATTATATACTGACCGTTGGAATCATTAGGGAAGCACATTACTGAACTGAGAGCAATGCCAGCAGAACTGTGCCTTGCAGAGACATTTGAAGAGGTGATAATCCTGTGAAAATTCCCAAAGATACCTAGGCGTTTTGACACTCAAGGTTAAAGTCCAGCAAAACAAGGTGTTACAAAGGTCTTGCCATCATGCTTAAACAATTTAATAGTAGCAGCAATTAACACATGAACTTAAGGGAAATATTTGTCATAGGTTTAGTGATCACCCTCACTCCCATGAACAATGCATTCCTCATGGCTAGGGAACATAAAAAAATCAGGGTTGTCAAATGAAAGCAGTATGGTTGTTGTAATCATACTGGTACATTTGTAATTCAAGGCTTTGACTAGAGGCATGCGCCTAAAGGGTGATGTGATATCAAATGTTCACCCTCAAAGAAATGATCAGCCCCTTTTAGGCTAACCACTCACCCATCTTGCCTACTTATTGCATTTTATTTCTGCCCTATTGATATATCTTAAGAGATAATGCATAACATTATCAAAGCAATGATTAAAGTGTTGATGTTTTATTTTAAATACAATGTCTATAATTCGTTTAGTTTTAGGGTTTTAAAATTCTTACTTTTAAAGGTAAAAAAACTGGGACTATTTGCTCAGTTTTTAGATGGGGCTCAGAATAGGTTTTACTAAATGTGAACATCCCTCTTCCCTGAACCTTATTAAACATGATTGTATGAAACATTAGCATGTTAAATAACATGCCAAGTTAGGGGCATATCACCAAGGGGAAGACTGAGTGTCTTACTGAAATTTAAATTAGCCTAGCTGTCCCTTCTATTTACTGTGTTTCCCCGAAAATAAGACATCCTCCGAAAATAAGACATCCTCCGAAAATAAGACCTAGCACATGTAAAGATAAGACATCCCCTGAAAATAACACCTAGCGCAACTTTGGGAGAAAAAATTAATATAAGACACTGTCTTATTTTCGGGGAAACAGGGTATTATAAACAAAGGAGGAAGCCACAGCCCCAACCATATCTAAACAACCTAATTTTAAAATTTATTTCCGAGGAAGGTGATATTTTAAAAGGCATATAAAAGTGATATATATTTATATATCCGATAAGAACATTTTAAAAGGCCCCTTGCAATGTTGCCTGTATGCTGTTATTTGTGTGAGTGTGTGTGTGTGTGTGTGTGTGTGTGTGTGTGTGTGTCTGTGTGTGTGAATGTTTAGGGGAGTATAGTTTTAAAAAGGCATAAAGCTATTTCTCCCAATAAAGATGAAATTATGGAATTACATTTTAGCTTGATATAAAACTAACTTTTTAAATTTAATGTACTGGCAATGGCTATATAGAATTCTAAACAGTGGAGATGGTTATTTCCCCAACAATGACAATGTTTGTTGAAAGCTACAATCAACTGATAATGTTTAAAGCATTTGACTAAGTATCATTAATATGACATAAAATATTTTTAATTCATAGACAAATAGAAGCTACACTGTTTGCCCCCCCCCCCACCTTTTTTGTCTGCAGAAACACAGATATTATCCAGAAATCATAAACATGGGGACACCTTCCTGTAAGCTACCTATTTCAGCAACACACACATCAGAGCTCCTTGAAAATAGATACTTCTTTCAAGCCATTTGGCAACCACAGCTTCCAATGGGAGTTCCAGTTTTAACCATTAGATAGATGCAATTTCTTAGCCATCAGTATTTCTTGTTTATTGGGGCAATGAGATGTAACACAGATGGAACTGGCCCAAATCTGAAGCACGGTTAGATGCAGCATAATGGAAGCAATTATATGGAACTGTTGAAGTTCTGCAGGATTCATTTATGTTTTTTTAGAATACTCACAAAATCAATCAACAAAGTATTTACCTATAAGCTGCAGGTACTTCTTCTAGTGTTAGAGAGAACAGATAGAATACCAATGTATATTCTCACTTCTGCAGTGGGACCAGAGTATCCACCTAACAGTGGTAGTTGTGGTATCAGATTCAACTCCTCGGCCTGGCAAAGTGCTCAAAGAATCCAACTGAAATTGGCAGCATTAACCTTGGGTCTGTTAAATTCTGTAGCAGACATGTGCAATCTATTCCTGGTAGCTTAGAAAATACCCACCCTTCATATCCAGTGGGGGCATATACACCAAACATACAGCAGCCATTCTTTCCTATAAGTAGGCAAGGTGTTTTGTCCCAAAACAGGATAGCTGTATGTTACATGTAAATGCTCAGTTGGGTATATCCCCCGGTGACCTGTGGAGCTACCAGTACAGACTAGGATTCATTGTACTCAGCAGTGTTCAATTCATTGTAGGAAATATAGTTTACTGTGGCATGTAGTTTTGATATGTAGTTTACAGTAGAAAGTTGGCATTTTTACTTAGGGACAAAGGCAAAATCCACACTAAGTATCCACTTGAGCCATGAAGAGACACCAGATATCATCCACTTGCAGAGTGACACTTCCGGACACAATATACTCATCTTGGTGTAAATGGTAACATTAATAAGGCTCTTCTTTGCCAGAAGAGGCCAATTTAATGCCTATCTCCAGGGTACACATCAGGACTATCTCTTTTGTATATGCTGGAAGAAAGACTAGTTTAGGGAAGATGCCTTTTATTTCCAGAAAGGCTAAGAAAAAGGGAGACTTTTTGAGAGGAGGCGTGTTTATATGCTTTTTTATTTCTCCTCGGTGGGTAACCCAAGTATGTGAGCACACGGGTGATCTGCAGCACAGGTATAGCAGCAATCTCTCAAGCAGCACTTTCCGTAAACCTGGTTTAACATCTGGACTGGCAGCCATTTGGAATGAAGTGTCGAATCTCTGCTGCCCGCGGAGGCAGCATGGCACACACCAACGACCCTGGGGCACTCCTGCTGTGGAGGCTCCCACTGACACGTGAGCTGGGGACAAACAGAGGTTTATCCTCTTCCAATCGCCTGCAACTCATGTTGCAAGCTGAACTTGCTGGGTTTGCCACCGAAAACACAAAGCTTCCTCGGTATCTCCTGATGCATGTTTAAAAAAAGCAGAAGGCCCTTCACACATGGTTCATGTTCTTATTATTTGCTTGCGTGTTTCTGATTTGTTGGGGGAAGAAAAGACCCTTGATGTACGAAGTTGGGCTTAACTCCCCAGAGCCCAACTCTCCCAACGTAACTCACTGCTTCAGGGTACTTTACCTTCGTGTGGGGCTGGGTCTTGATGGAGCCGTATTCATATTTCTTCTTTCCGCTGCCTTATTAATATCTGAAAAGAATAATCAACCCATCTGTTCAATGCTACGGAATAAAAACAAGATCATCAGCATATTTCAAATGAAAGCAGTAACAAAAGAACAACAATGACAACCAGATGGTGTAAGAAAATCCATTCAGAAGACACACTGTCACTTGGGCAGTTTTTATTAAGTTATGGCAGTACATTGTCATGGTTTGGTAAGGAAAGTCCTCAGTTTTCTAGCTAACACACAATTTGTGTAAAGCTGATTATGTCAACGTTTTAACACTTTGCAAGTCCTAAACCTAACTCTCTCCCACCCCCCACCTCCAAAGGGAAGATTGTTTTTTGAGGGGAAAAGGGGGAAGAAAAATGAGGAGTGTTAACAAAACAAAACAAAAGGAGTAAAGGCAAATAATCCCATTTTATGTTACAAAGAAGTATGAGCTGAACTCCATTGTCTTGAAACTTCCAATATTCCATGAAGTAGGGCCTCCTTTTAATGTGCTTTGTGCTGTATTCCTTTGGGCAGACTCTTCCAGAATGAGATGTGGGGGAAAAAATGGATTAATTTTTTTCTAAACAAAATATCTGACATGTTCATATATATATATATATATATGACCCTCATAGATAAGTACCTGAGAGTAAGAACTGGCATTTGGTATAGAAGCATTAGGTAATAAGAACTCATGAAATTTCTAAAGAAACGTACCAACCTACCATATACCCAAAAGATAACCTGACAATTTTATATAATATATATAAATGCATTAAAAACTTCATGCTTTAATTGAGAGAGAAATAAAACTGCTTCCTGCTGCAGTGTAGGTTTATTGCCCTTGTTTCATATTAAGCAATTGATATTATATTTAATGACATTAAATGCTATTAAGCACTCAGAATGCTTAAAAATAGCAATTATGTATTTTCGAAATTCCAACTAGAGTCCTATCACATGAAGACCACAATAAAGTAGCACAACAAACAAACTTAAGAGGGCTGGTGTAGACTTTATCCTGCTATATTGACTTCCGAGTTCTTATTCTAGTGAGAACAATTTTTAATTCCATTTTGAATCAGAATTTTCTTTTCGCTATGCCTACAAGAAAATGGCTATGAACAAAACTGAAGGTAACATAAATCTAAATAGCCAGAAGCATATTCTAAATTGCCTCTTATGATTTCAATTATGCAGACACAAGCTATAATCCCTCTATTTTTAAAAAATCAGAGAATATTTTCTATGTAGGACATGCCAGCAAAATCTAACCATGCTTTGGTATTGTACGTGGCACTTTCACAATTTACAGGTTCACTAATATAGTCCTTATAGAAAATACATAATTCTTTTATATATAATTGTGAAGAATATCAATTCAGGTTTAGAAGGGCCTACTGACCTAGGGCACTCATTTACTTTGTACTGCTTTCTAATATAGGGTGAGTGTGATTCAGAGAAATGTGATGTCTTTGATTATTTAAGTAGCTTTCAAAGTATCTCTGGAAGACACTGGGGGTAGTGCTAGTGTAAAAATCTCTTTTAAATAAGTACTATATTTTCTAGCAGTGTTCCAAACATTATTAAATAGTCTTTTGAATAAAGAATACTCATCTAAACTCTGACTTGACCTAACATTTAGGTGAGAATATAGAACATGTGGTATTAGTTTAGTTGGTAAGTTTCTATTAATGCTGTGTTATAATTTGCCCTCATCATATGAAAAGGATTTTTACACTGTATAATTATATCTAGTTCTGTGATTTCCTATACAGAAGACTGGGGAGATAAAAGTAGTGATGCATTATATACCTTTGGGGCAAAACTGATTCCAGTGAGAATGAAGGAGGTAAGTATTTTACTTTGAAGTTGGGGAAATTATTTGCAATATTATTTTAAAATTAAAGATTATATCTTTAAACCATTTTATTTTATTGATTTTTAAAAATATATTTTATTGATTTTTTAGAGAGGAAGGTAGAGGGAGAGTCAGAAACATCGATGAGAGAGAAACATCGACCAGGTGCCCTCCTCCCCTGCCCCGCACCCCCCCCACTGGGGATGTGCCCAACAAGGCACATGCCCGACCGGAATCGAATCCAGGACCCTTCAGTCCGCAGGCCAATGCTCTATCCACTGAGCCAATCCGGTCCCGGCTAAACCATTTTAATTGTAATGTGCCTCCTATAACTATTTTCATTGAGTAGTCCAGAGCAATTCTACTTGAATGGTGTAGCTTATGTTTCTTCTGCCAAAAGAGCTCTCTTAGACCATTTTTTAAAGTTTAGCAGTAAAATTTTAGTATAGAGTGCCAAGTGTTTGTTTATTGACCCCTATTTAAGAGTTCCTTAAAGTTCCATCTTGGGTGAGATATGGATAAAATGAGACCTGAAAATTTTTTATATAATCTTTTAAAAAATATATTTTATTGATTTTTTACAGAGGGGGATAGAGAGTTAGAAACATTGATGAGAGAGAACCATCGATCAGCTGCCTCTTGCACACCCCCCACTGGGGATGTGCCCGCAACCAAGTACATGCCCTTGACCGGAATCGAACCCAGGACCTTTCAGTCCGCAGGCTGACGCTCTATCCACTGAGCCAAACCGGTTTCGGCAATTTTTTATAATCTTATTGCCATACAATAGGATTACTCAGGTTCTGATAGGGTTTTGGAAATTTTCAGTGCGAGTTAGGAAAGCAAAACTGTCAACAACCACCAATCCCCACACATAAAAAATCCTTACATATGTGCACACAGAACTTTTGGAAAACCTGTTAGTTCAATAATAAGGAATAATAGAGAAAAAAATCAAAAATATAAATAACTTCAGGGAGCTGATCACAGAATAGTAAAAATTTAGAGTCAAGAAAAAATACCTTGCCCATCCTAATTTAAAAAAAAAAAAAAAATATATATATATATATATTGATTTCAGACAGGAAGGGAGAGGGAGAGAAACATCAACAATGAGAGAAAATCATCGATCCTACTGGGGATTGAGCCTTCAACCCAGGCATGTGCCAGACCAGGAATCAAACCAAGACCTCCTGATTCATTAGGTCTATGCTCAACCACTGAACCATGCTGGTCAGGTGCTCCATCCTAATTTTTTGTCACACAATTTGAAAACCCATCCATTGCAGGTTGAAGTTCATTTCAACAAGTTTTCCCTTTGGAAATGCAAATATTGGAACTGGTAAAGAGAGCTTTTGTGTTAATTCTTGAATAAGATTTTCCCCCTAAATTCTTACAGATATATACTAATATATCCTATATAATAAAAGGCTATTATGCAAATCGACCAAACAGTGAAATTACCAGTCGCTATGCTGCAAACTGACCACTGGGGGCAGACGTTCAATGCAGGAGCTGCCCCCTGATGGTCAGTGCACTCCCACAGGGGGAGTGCCGCTCAGCCAGAAGCCCTGAGCTGGGCTCATATCTGGTGAGTGCCATGGCAATACTAAGGATGTCTGATTGCTGAGAGCTCCTGGACTGCAATAGGGTGCAGGCCAGGCTAAGGACCACCCCCCCCCCCCCGCAAGAGTGCATGAATTTCGTGCACCAGGCTTCTGTGTATATATGCTACACACACACACTAATAATAATGTAAACGAGAAGAGACATTTCTTTCTGAACATTAGAAGGAGAGCCATCTTTGGAGAGAATTTAATCAAGAAGTTAGTGGCAATGTGGGACGTTCCAAGGACAGAATGATCCTTTTTCTCACAAAAAAGAGAATAGTGCTTTTTTTCTCTCCTCCTGCCACATACTCTTAAGACCAAAAGTCAGACACAGTGTCTCTTCTACCTCAGCTTGGTTGCTACTTCAACCAAGTTAGTTATATCAGCAATGTGGATGCCATTCAAAATCACCATCACCACAAGGTGCTTAACCTTGACCAGAATATCTATAATTTCCAAGTGGTCTTCTCAAAACAGTTAAAAGCACTTTTCAAATAAGGACTTTTAGGTAAGAAAAACAGTACCAACTAAAGGGATTTACATAAAAGAAAAAAAAAATCCCAGAAAATAATTTAGAAAACACGGTGTTATACAGAAATGTTTTAAGGCACAAAAGACTCGGGTAAAGAACTCCCAAAGGAAGACACAATGCCTGACCTACAATTTTATTTTGGACTAATATGCCAGACAAAGTTCACACAATGGTCCTTGGATGTTATAAATAAATACACATTTCATTCACAGCATCAAGAATTGTTTTGCTCTGTTTTTTAATTGTGCCATAATAAAAAAAAATTTTTTTTTTTACCTTAAAACCCATTGTTATACTCCACACCAATGCAATATAAACTATTCTGAACAAGTGCAGTATGAATCACAATCACAGCACTTAGTGACAGTACCACTTCTGGCGTTGAATGAATCCAGAAACATACAATTTCAATAAGGAACTACAAATTAAATAAAACTCCCTAAAAAGCTTAGTTGAAAACCAGATGAAAAATGCCACTTGAAAAACCATACTGACTTCTCTAACTATATTTATGAAGATGACTTTGATGATATATTGTAACATCAGGGATAACATAATGAGCTATATTGTAACTATCAGGGATAAGAGAATGCTCTGCTTTATTAATAGGTTTTATTGATTTCAGAGAGATAGAAAATCAATGATAAGAGAGAATCATCAACTGGCTGCATCTGCACATCCCCTACTGGGGATCAAGCCCACAACCTACGCACAGGCCCTTACCAGGAATGGAACCGGAATCAAATCGAACCAGAATAAAACTGAACTGGAATCGAACCGCGACCTCTTGGTTCACGGACTGATGCACAACCACTGAACCACATTCGCCCAACAACTGTTTTTAAGCATACAGTTCAATAGGGTTAAGTATATTCAAACTGTTGTACAACAGATCTCCAGTACTTTTCATCTTGCAAAACTAAAACACTCTATACTCATTTGACAACCCCCTCCGAGGCCAGGTGCACAAAATTTGTGCACGGGTAGGGTCCCTAGTCCT